CAGTAGAGGGTGGAAACTAGAGTTTAGGTCCCTGGCTTTCGAGAGAATACATTGTTGGGTGTTGTTTAAATCGCGGGTTGGTGGAGAAATTGGCATTGAAGGTGGGTGTCCAGCCACCATTTCCCGCCATTTTGCGGTATGACCAAATTAGCAGCTTGCGGTCGCGTTGTGCATGGGAGGGTGAATGCACCAGGAGAAACTCCTGCCTGTTTCGCCTGTGGTAGACCAGGTACTCGCGATGATGGTGGTGGAGGTTGGAAGCACGTGTGCAGCACACCGTATTGGTCGGCAATCGTAGAATGGTCTGCGGAAGTAGGCAGTAAGTGGAGGCACGAACGAAATCTACAGAGCGACCCTCCGGCGGCAGGGGAGTGCTTGTGCGCGCGCGCGGATTGCGTGTACAGGATGTACTCCCTTTTCCGCTTAGGGAGAGCCAAAGACAAAAAGGGCTCCTGGGATATCATGAGCGTGGGCCAGTCATCTCCTACGGGGCGCTACCCGTCCACCCCGAAGCAGGTGAGAGAGGAGACCGAACCCTACCAGCGGCACCTTGATCATGATGGCGAACGTCTCCTGGTCGCCCTCGATAGCGACACGCTGGGCGGCATCCGGAATGACCCCCTCTGCCTTCTCCTTTCGGCTTAGGACGCCCGCCTGGACTCGAATCCTCTCTATCGCCGCTGCATTGTCCTGCGTGCTCTTTGACGACCCTCTTTGGATGAAAGCGGTCCTGTTCTCCATGTTCTGCACCGCCGGACTTGTGACTTTCTGGAGCTCAACCTCCAAGCACGACTGCCCAGGGCCAGGTGTGCTCAGGTACTCCGAGCTGCCCTCCAGAACGTCCCACAAGGTCTGCATCCATTCATCGACAACACGATCATGAGCAGCTTTGTCGGGACCGTATCGCACCAGCTCCACCGTTAACTCTGTCTCCGGCAACCAGGAGCTCTCCGGGCCCAAGACAGCACCCCCCCCCTTGGCCACGTGCGCTGTGGCCGCCAGGAATGCGATGTACTTCCCACCGTCGAACATCTTCTCCGCCTTCACGTCCGTATTGTCATAGGCGCACATCATTTGACCACCCTTAGGCATGAGGTCCTTGTCGTTGACCGTGGGGAGGCAGTTCTCACGATCCCACCGCACCCAGTCCCCGTAGCAGATGTTCAACGAAGCGAGTAGTGACATGGGCTTTTGACCAACACCCCACTGTTTCAACGCCTGTGATAGCTTCAAGAAGTGTGGCGGCATGAACTTTGTGCGCATGACGGCCCGCCCGATCATGGTTGCAAGGAAGTACATCAACCCGGCGTCCCCTCGCTCTTGTCTAGACATCTTATCGCGTCCCTCCTGCTCGTCAAAGCGATCCTCCTTCCATCCGCACACGGCCATGAGGAGGGTGAAAAGCTGCGGGGGGCAAAATGTCTTGAGATACTCTACAGGGGGCACCACATCCACTTCGAGTTCCTGTGTTTTCCGGAGGTCGAACGTCGACGCCCATGTCTCCCCGCTCCAGGGACCCCACGCCTTGATAGACTCGCAAACGTCCTGACCCGCTGCCCGAGTCGATTCAAGTTTTGCCTTCTCCCCATCGGCGGAGGACGCCCCACCTGCCGCGGTCGGCGTACCGTCGGCGTCGCCGGGCCCGTCCGACATTTGCGATTCCTGGCGCACCTTCTCGGCGACGGTCTCCAACTGCCGCACTTTTCGGTCTGTACAAACCACGTACTTATGCGAGATGACCTTCGGCATAACGAAGTGCACAAGTGTCCGCCCATCCACCCCGATTTCGTGGCCCTCGTAGCTGACGTAGTAGGCGTCCGTCACACCATTGCCTACGGACGTAAGGATGTCCACCGCAATTTGACGCAGACCCTTATCCTTCTGCACCCCCTCAACGGGCACGGACAAGCCACACTCACGACGCTTGGCAGCCACGATTTCAATGGCATCTTCCACGGCTACTGGAACGCTTTCTTGCAAGATGCGGAGTACGGATAGCATCGCCTCGTGGAACGCGGCCGCGGCCTGGTGTTTTTTCTCCGCTGCGCGGGGCCTCAGGTGCTCCAGTAGTTCCTTCGTCGTTGGCCTCGCGTCCGGGGGGATCCTAGCCTTGTTGTTGTAGCCTTCCATAAAGCACCGATTGCAGATGTCACTGAGGAGGGTCAAATCCTCGCCACTGTTCAAAAACGCGTCAACGCTGGATCGGCCCGACCTGAACCACGAAGTTAGCACTATAAGCATTCCACCAGGGTGGTGCCAGTGATTTTTATGGCCTCCGCGCATCTTGCAGATCGCACACGTCTTCTTCTTTTCTTCTACGGTTCTTGCTTCAAGCCATCGCTTGTGCTGCTGAAAGAAGCACTGG